AGGAGTTTAGGGGTTTATGAACTCCCCAAGAGAATCTTGAAGCTGCTCTCTGAGATGAGGTCTGGGCAGATGGCTTGAGGAACTGTGGGTTAGCCTCAAACCTTGAAGACCTGGCCTGAGTAGGACAGGAAGAGGCCAACAAAGGTACTCTTCTCCCCAGGGTCTTTCTTTCATAGGCTGCCTGCTTTCTTTTCTCCCTTGCTTTGAGTCCTTGTGTTTGTGGCATGAAGTGAAGTCTCTGTGAGCTTTACTTCTTCCTGCTGCAGCCTCACCTGCTGGGGCCTTGGTGGGGTGTGGCCTGGTCCTGGCACAGTCTCCTGCCAGGCTAGGGAGGCTCACAGAGGCCATGGTACTAAGATTTCTGTCCAACTCCTGTCTGTACCCAGTGGAATCCTGTGCTTCCAGCCAGGATAGAGTATGCTTTTTATCTTCATTTTAATCTGTACAGTTAAGACTTGGGGCTGAGGACTGTAAGCTCTCACATGCGTGAAGGGCAGACTGGGCGACCTGCTCCTTTTACCCTTTCCCTAAACCCCATGTTCTCAGAGGTGTTCTTTGCCGTGTGAGAGGAGCAAGCCAAGGGTGTAGGACCATCCAGGATCCTTTGGCTAGAACTAGATCTGCCTCCTAGGCTGAGTTCTGAGGTGTTAAGGAGGAAGGAGGTGCTGCAGCCTGATACCTAAGGAGTGGGGCAGCAGATTGTGCTCAGTGGGAGTGGAATTCAGAGGCATGGGCCTGGGTATCTGAGACACACCTGGCTTTTTCTTGACCTGGCTTCACTGCTTCTTTCCTCTGTGACAGCTTGCTTACTAGCCTTGTGGAGCCAATTTCTTCAAGTGAGATGGATGATGGGTCTGATTTAGGGAGCTGTTGTGGGCTGGGCCTGGAGTGAGCACAAGCTCTATGGAAACTAGACTGGAGGTGGTGTCAGTACTCGTATGGGGTTATTGCCAGCCTCCCTGCCCTACCCACTCCTGTAGAGGTTTAGGGAGTATTTGAGAGGAGCTGCCTCTGGGATTGTCCCTTCTTACCATCTGCTTGTTATGTGAGGCTGAGAACCCTTCACTGGTTTGTGGAAAGACTGAAAGTCTGCTAGTGTCTCCCTGGGACTGGCAAGGAACAGGCCTGAAGTGAAAGCCTGGCTCCCCGCCCCCATGCTGGTTAGTATGGATGCCGGAGCAATCTTGACTGGGCCCTGGCAACAAGTCAGAGGCCCTGGGAAGGCGCCCTGGCGAGGCTGGGCATGCTCCTTCTCCACAGCCGAATGGCCTTCGGCCTCTTGTTGCCAGCTCTGTTTTCCCCAGGGGAGACATTCAGTTTCTCCTGGTGCACGGGCTGCTGGGAAGGGAAGAGGAAGCTTGCCAGGTTCTTGGTGGAGCTTAGAGGCCTGGGGCTTGGGTGCAGTTGTCCTTTGGGAAAATGGGGGCCCATCCCCCCCCCAACCAGTGACTCTCAGGAAGGGGCTAGCTGCCAGGTCACCTGCAGGGGGCAGCAGGAGCCAGAGGCCCCAGCCAGTCCTTTGACTTGAGATGCAGAGGCAGGGTGCTTAGTGTGTGTCTGGTGACAGGACTGCCACCTCATGGCCTGGGCCCGGGTCTGTGCCAGCTGTTGCTGGCAGCTGGCCGAAGCTGTCCTACCTACCCCTACTGGGGTTGGAGCTGAGGAGAGGACCCCTTTGCTGGGCCCTGCCCCTGCTAGCCAGTCCCCAAGAGCCTTGATCCTGAGGGGTCCAAGTACCCCAAATGCTGGGTTCTCCAGCTCCCCTGATGGCTTCAGCAGCACTAATCCCCTTTTGCGGGGTAATATGGAGGTGGGCCTGAGCACTGATAACTCCCCCAAGGGTCCTGGAGCCACCAGGGCCTCCTCGTCTGCAGCCGCCCTTCTGGCCGACCTTGAGCAGAATGCAAGGCAGGAGGAGTGTGCCCTCCCCAGGGCTGCCCCAGCAGGCCTGGCCCCACTGAAACCCGAAGCCAGCCGGAGCTCCAGCCCGGGGCCTATGAGCTGCATTAGGACAAGGAGAGCAGCAGAGACTGAAACAAGGAACACAGGCAGTGCTGGGCCTGGGCGGGAGGACCGGCTGCTTTGCTACCATGGCAGTTTTGAGACTCCAGAGCCGAAGAGAAGACAGCTGCTGACCACACCAGGTGCACTGTGGGGCTGTGTGAACCAGTTAGCGGGGAGGTCTCTTGGCCTTAATCTAGTGGTTGGGAGACCTTCGGGCTACCTTGGGGAAGAGAAGCAGGGCTGGTTGTTCTTAGGAAGGGAAGTCTAGGGAACAGGCCACTTTGAAATATGACCAGGGATAAAGCACCTCTTTCACCCAGGATGCAGGTCTCTAGGGTAGGAAGGAGAGGGTGGGGATGGGACCACCTTGCTGTGCCTTCCCTCTGCCCCTCGCCCTTCTATTCCAGATATCCCAAGTAGCACAGGCTATCTGACACCCAACTTTTGGGACCTTGGAACTTAAAACTGCTTGAATGGGGGCCCATAGCCTTTCTCAGGGACCCAGTAGGAGAAGCTCCTCTGCTCTGCCATCCCTCTTACTGCTTTTGGAAAGCTGACCAGCTGCTGCCCTTCCTACCTTTGTCTGTTCTGTCGCTAGAGCCAGGCAAGTTTTCACTTTTTTGGGGAGAGCTCATCATTTCTAGGTACTGGAGTTGCCCTGCCTGAGCTGCTAGGTCGCTCACTAGAAGAGACAACAGATCTTTGTGTGTCCTATGGTTCTTGGAAGTTGCACTCCAGGTTTGCAGAGGGTGTGGTGGGGACAGAAGGGTGGGTGACAGGCTTGTTTATTGGAGGTCCACAGTGGCCAGGATTGAGAACAATGCAGCTCTATGAGTGTGCATATGTGGTGGGAATCTGAGGGCCTTCTCTCTGTGACCTTGGGCAGGCTCTAAACCTTTCTGGCTTCAGACTTCCTTATTTGAGTTAAGGGGGTGGGAACTATATCTGAGCACTTGGAGGTCTTGTTTTGATTGTACTGGGGATCAAATCCAGGCCTCCCACATACCAGGTGAGTGTTCTGTCACTGAGCTACATTTCCAGCCCTTTTTATTTTATTTTTCAGACATGGTCTCACTAAGTTTCCCAGGCTAGTCTCAAACTTGTAATCCTCCTGTTTCAGACTTTGAAGGACCTGGAATTACATTGTGTGCCACTGCACCTGGCTGGAAGTCCTATATATCACTGAGCTCAGGGGTATAGGACAGGTGGAACAACTTCTTCCCAATTCCTTGGCATGTCTCTGAGCTAGGCTACCTCCTTTCCTGGGGTCCCTGCTCCATGTTTCTAGTGTATCTGGACAGAGAACACAGAGCTCTGGAGAATGTACTTCATTCTTGCTCCTGATAGTTAGGGTTGGGCAGGGAGGGGAAGTGGAGTCTGGACGGGATGGGCTGGCATCCAAACATTGAGAAAGCTGTTCTGTTTAGTAGGGAACCCAGCCCTACTCAGAGCTGGAACTATGGAGTGCAGAGCCAAGGAGGCCAGTCTGGCTGACAGGCAGATGCTGGAACTAGGGTCCTCACTTGCCAAATGGGCATCCAATCAGGCCTATCTGGAGGGTTTTTGGAAGGAAGACCTTGGCTAGGGGAGGATGGGCCTCTTATGTGTTTCCCTCAGTGCCTGGGAAAAATGGGGAGTTTTGTCACCTGTTTTCCTCTCCCCACAGCGTAGGAGTTGGGTGCTATTCATGAATATTGGACTTGGCTTTAGGTTTGCAGTAATTCATTAATTTGATACCTTTTCAGTAAGTGTAAGTAAGGCAGAAGGTACAAGTAGAGCTGCTGGTATAAACAGCCACCCTGGCAATTCTGCCAGCAGAGGTCATTTAGACAGGCTTTTGAGAGGGTTACTCACCTGTGACTTGGAGGATGAGCTGAAGTTTGCTTGATGGAATGGTCTGTTGGATGGCATAAACTGAAACAGAGATGGGAAGGAAGGAGCTGGCAGACCTGAGAATGTAGGTAGGTTCCCTGGAATGCTGCCTAAGCTTGTGTCTTGTCAGCAGTGGATTCCAGGTGAGGTGGCCCTCTTGAAATTCGAGAAGTCGATGCCTACATTGAGGCCATGGCTGCAGAGGTGGGAACCCTTGCAATAGGTTGGAGTTCAGGTTGGATGAGTAAGTAGAAGGTAGGGGGCCTTTATGCAGCAGGGGTTGATTTGTGGGGAAAGATGAATTTTTGTCCCAGCAAGATGAGCTTTGCAGAGGCCCACATGTTGATGCCTGGGTCGCAGCTGTCTCCTTTCAAAAGCTTGAGCAAACTCGGTGTGGTGTAATCCTAGCACTTGGGAGTCTGAGGCGGGAGAATCCTGGTGAGTTTGAGGCCAGCCTGAACTACATAGTGAGACTCTGTCTCAAAAAAAAAAAAAAAAAAAAAAAAAAAAAGCTTGAGCAAAGCCACATGGGCTTTGTTAGAAGGGTATTTGAAGACATGGGAGAAGGTAAGGTGAGGATGCTGAGAGATTAGGAGCTCACAGCTCAGGACCACTAGAAGAGGACAGGCTAGCAACAAGGATGAGGTTGTCACATTTGTTGAGGAAGAGGAGGAGGAAATGAATAATGGTGGTTATAGCTACTCAGAAGCTAGGTAGTTATAGAGTTGGGCAGCATGCTTAGGAGGGAGCTGAACAGGTGGGCTGAGGAACAGTGGATGGGGAGGAAGGGTACAGGATATAAAAAGGAGAAGGCAGACAGCAGGAGTGCCGGGGGCTGAGCTGGTATAATGTCTAGGTTAGGGCATACAGATCTAATTCTAAGCTGGGCAAGAAGTCACAGAACCGGAAGCAGAAACATAACTGCTCTCTCAGGAGGCTAAGCAGGGAGGATTGCATGTTGTATGCTAGCCTAGGCTAAATAACTGGTACAAGGCCAGCATAGACTATATAGTGAGGCCATATCTCAAAAAATAAACAAACCCTTCCCCAAATGGAGATCTCATTCCATAGGGCACAGGCCCAACTAGGCCCAGCTGATTCAGCTCCTTTCTTACCATCCCCAGATCCCGCATCTGTCATGCTGTTAAATGGGGACTGCCCAGAGAGTCTGAAGAAGGAGGAGGGAGTGGCCGACCCACCCAAGGAAAATGGACTGGATGAGGGCGAGCCAGGAGATGAGACCACCGGACAGGAAGTCATTGTCATTCAGGACACGGGCTTTTCTGTGAAGATTCTGGCCCCTGGGATTGAGCCCTTTTCCCTGCAGGTAAGATGAGAAAGAAATGCTGGGAGCCAGGGCCTCTGCCTGCTAGAGTAGACAAGGCTGGAAGCTGACCCTTGTCTTTGTCCTGGCCCCATGTTGCAGGCAGGAAACAGAGTCCTGGGCCTTACCCAGGGTCTAATTTAGTGTGGTTGATGAGGGAATTGAGTCCAGGTTCAGGTCATGGTCCCAGTGCAAGAGGACAGCTACCAGCAGGGACTGCCAGCCCTTACTGGGGAGTAGAGTGGTGGTGTTGGTCCCAGCACTCCCCAGCCTCTTGCTCTGTGCCCTGAGCTAAGTCATCTCTCACTGAGCCATGATTGTACCCTATGCCAGAAGTGTGAGTGGTATTGAGTGGTCTCCAGGGTTAGGGCCAATCCAGAAGTAACTTGCAGGCTGGGAACCAGGTAAGGCCCTCTTTTGTGCTTTCTACCCACCAACTCAGGCCCTAGTGCAACCCTTTGAAGGCAAATGCTACTTGCCTTGAGGACCTTAGTGCTGGGAGAATTGCTATTTTGTTTTGTTTTGTTGTCTTTTTTTGTTTTTTAGACAAGGTCTTACTATGTAGTTCAGGCTGGTCTTGAACTTGCTATGAATTCCAAGCTGACCTCAAATTTATGACTATCCTCTTGCCTCACTCTCCCAAGTGCTAGATTGCTGCTTGTTCTTCCTGGTCTCCCATTACCTGCAGCTCTGCTTAGATTGCTTTTAGTCTATAGGAATAGTTTAGGTCTGGGGCAGTGGCCAGGCTCTGTCCTGTGTGCATGGATGCAGATGGAAATGATATATACAAACAGGGCTTGGAATTTAAAAGCCAAAAAGTGGGAAACTAAATATTTTAGGTACATATTCTAGGGTCCTGTGTACTTTGGACTTTGAGAGAGAGGTTATATCCTTGCTTTCTGCTGTGTGACCTCTCACCAGGGTGGTTGGGGCCTTCTCCTTGACAGGTGTCTCCCCAGGAGATGGTGCAGGAGATCCACCAGGTGCTCATGGACCGTGAAGACACATGTCACCGTACCTGCTTCTCACTGCACCTGGATGGCAACATGCTGGATCACTTTTCAGAGCTGCGCAGTGTGGAAGGGCTGCAGGAGGGCTCGGTGCTCCGCGTGGTGGAAGGTTAGTGGAGAATTCGGCATCCTGCCAGGAGAGGGCATCCGGAGGCAGGCCAGATAACACTCCACCTACCGTCACAGCTGAGCACATGGAGGTGGCACTGGAGCACAGGTCTGTTGCTTAGGCTGTCACACCTTCACTTTCCAACTACATGGTCCACAGGCTAAATGAAGGCTAGAGTCTCCATTCTAAAAAGTTACCCAGTCCTAAAGCCTGGCTTAGGACAAATTCTGTAAAGACAGATAAAGTCTGTTAAGAAAGCTAAAACATTTCACAGCCCTTGAGTAGGAAAGTCAGGCCCAAGGCAGAGTCATCCTCTTTGGTATGATGAGACTGATTTGGTTATAAAAGAAGTCGCTGTGGCTGCTAGGTTCGCAGGGCCTGTGAGCTTCAGAGCAAATGTGGATGAAATCTAACTCACCTGTGCCTCTAGTTGATCACAGAACCTCTCCCTGCTCCTGAAAAAAACTGCCAGTACAGTCCCACAAAGCAGTCGTTGGGGGTCCTGGGAGTGAAGTCCTCAGGCTGCCCCTAAGTGAGGGTTGCTGAGAACAAAACTGAGACTCTGGAGGCCCAGAAGCTCCACAAACCCTACCCACGTGAGCGCCAGACAGCAGAAAGTAAGTGGCTTTTGTGGGCCACTCAGGGCCTGTGAAGGCCTCAGTGGGTGCTTGGTGGAGAGGTCTTTCACTGTGAACAAGGATGCACTTTTATATTTTTGAGACAGTCTGGCAATGTAGTTAAGGCTGGCTTTTTGTCAGGGGAGGATCAAACTTGGGTCCTCGCACTTGCGAAGCAGGCAGAGGAACCACTGAGCTAAATCCCCAGTCCTATTTGAGGCTGACTTTGAACTCACTGTGTATCCCAGGCTTGCCTCAAACTTTTGGAGATTTTCCTGCCTCAGCCTCTGAAGTGCCAGGATTATAGGCTCATGCAGACATGCCTGGCTCTTGTTTGTTTTGGCATATGTGTGATTTTTGTTGTTGTTATTGTTTAGTTTGTTTTTGGTACCAGGGATGGAACTCAGGCAGGCACAGTGCCACTAAGCTAAATTCCAGGCCCCCTTTATTATGTTTTGAGATAGGGTCTCTCAGAGACACAGTTGCTCAGGCTGGGTTCAAGGTAGTGATCTTCCTCAGCCTCTGAGAGTGGTGTAATTCCAGGTGTGTACTACCATGCCTGGCTTTATAGTGGACTTTAAAAGTAAGAATTTAAAGCTTAGGCTTAACCTGTGGCTTAGTGATAGAGTGCTTTCCTAGCGTGCACGAGGCCCTGGTTTTAATCTTCAGTACTTTAAAGAATAAAAAAGAAAAGTCCATGGCTACATTGCCAGGTATGAGGGGCACGTGTCTGTAATCTCAACTGCCTGGGAGATTGAGATAGGAAGATTGCAAGTTTTGAGTCCAGACTGGACAACTTAGCAAGACCCCATTTTGAAAAATAAAGGGCTATGGGCCGGGGATTTAGCTCAGTGGTTCCACCTCCTGCCTCACAAGCAGGAGGTCCTGAGTTTGATCCCTGGTAGCAAAAAAAAACAAAAAAGGGCTAGGGATATAGGTTAGTGGTAGAGGGCTTACCTAGCACATGCAAGCCCTGGGTTTGATCTCTAGCATGCCAAAACACCAAAACCTACCCATTAGAGTACCTTGCAAGTCCTTCTCTGTGTTGGGCAGGTTGTTCTTGGGAATGGCCCTGGTAACCCTCTGCCCCACCCTCCTGACAGAGCCTTACACAGTGCGAGAGGCCCGCATCCACGTACGCCATGTCCGAGACCTGCTCAAAAGCTTGGATCCATCTGATGCCTTCAATGGAGTTGACTGCAACTCCTTGTCCTTCCTGAGTGTCTTCACTGACGGTGACCTGGGAGGTGCGGGAGAGTTGAAGGAAGCATCAGAGCTGGGCTTGGGCAGAGAGGCTGGTAAAGGGGGGCAGGTCTTCTCTCACGGAGGTGTGGGTCTAAGGCATTCAGACCAGGGCCACATTGAGGCAGGGAGCCACCTGGGCCCAGGCTGACCGCCGGTCTCGGGTCCCTCAGACAGCGGGAAGCGGAAGAAGGGCTTGGAGATGGACCCCATTGACTGTACACCGCCTGAGTACATCCTGCCAGGGAGCCGGGAGCGGCCACTATGTCCCCTGCAGCCCCAGAACCGTGACTGGAAGGTGGGACTTCTGGAGGGAGCAAGGGGGTCCCTGATGGAGGTCCCCACTGGAAGGCCTGGCCCCCTCATGTTTGGCCATTTATGCAGCCCCTGCAGTGTCTGAAAGTGCTCACTATGAGCGGCTGGAATCCACCCCCTGGGAACCGCAAGATGCACGGGGACCTTATGTACCTGTTTGTAATCACAGCTGAGGACCGGCAAGTCAGCATCACTGCATCCACTCGGGGCTTCTACCTAAACCAGTGAGTCATTGTCCATCCCACCCGCTCCAGTTACACCCCGACACCCCTGGGTTTTAGGGCAGATGTTCAGGGCACCTGCTCTGTGACTGTCTCCCTACAGGTCTACAGCTTACCACTTCAACCCCAAGCCCGCCAGTCCCCGCTTCCTCAGCCATTCCCTAGTGGAGCTGCTCAACCAGATCAGCCCAACCTTCAAAAAAAACTTTGCTGTGCTGCAGAAGAAAAGGTAGTGCCTGTGTGCTAGCCTGTCTTGGGTCACGTGGTCATGAACTGCCGGCCTGAACATGGTGGCCCCAGCCCCCATTTAGAGGAGACTGCAGCCCAGGGAGTGGTCCCTGTTTGCTTCTGTCTGGCTCTTGGGGCCAGGAGACAGTGGAATGGCATAGACTTTGGAGAGGAAGGGCCCACACCTGGGCTCGGAGTTTGGTGGGCTGCCCCATCTCCCCCTTTCCTGCCTATACAGGATCCAGCGCCACCCATTCGAGAGGATCGCTACCCCGTTCCAGGTGTACAGTTGGACAGCCCCCCAGGCGGAGCATGCCATAGACTGTGTGCGCGCGGAGGATGCCTACACCTCAAGGCTGGGCTATGAGGAGCACATTCCTGGACAGGTGGGGCTGACCTCATCTTCACCATTGCTCACCCCTCCTGGTGCCCAGCTTGTTCTGTGCACCTCCTAGGAGGTTCCATCCGTGTCTGTTCACTTGGGAGCCTGGGGGGATGTTCACAAGGAGGTGAATGAAGGGACTGCCCAGAACAGGTTGTAAGGCACAGGCTGAGCCTGAACCTGCCTTTCTGGTTCCTCTGCAGACCCGGGACTGGAATGAGGAGCTGCAGACAACAAGGGAACTTCCCCGCAAAAATCTGCCTGAAAGGCTGCTTCGGGAAAGAGCCATATTCAAGGTGCCTACAGCCCTGCATGACTGACTGCCTGGCAGCCCTCTGGCCTACCTGCCACCTGTCACCTGGTCTTCTTTTGGATAGGAGGAAAGTAACAGAAGCTGGTTCTGGCCCAGCCTCGGAAGCTGGTCAGGGTACCTGCAGGGTGTTCTGCCTCCAGCAGCCCACACTGGTTCCTTTCTCAGGTGTCTTTGAGCCCATGGGCAGGTGGGGACCTACCTCCCATCTGGGCTGAGTGTCAAGGTCCAGCCAGCTTTCCACTCTCCACTGACCACATGAGGCCCTTGCTTGGGCATATGCTGCCCTTCTGTGACCCTTTGGGGAAATAGCACATCCACATAGCACTTAAAAAATTGTTAGTAGCATGTAAAAAATCTGTTAGTACTGTTAGTAACATAGAAATGAGGAAAAATAGTTACTTTAATATTTTTTTGCTGCCTCCTGCCTAGAGATGATAATGGTGAAATGAAGAGCTGTAATTTCTTGGATGCTAATTTGGCCAGGGGCTGTGCCATATATTGCATAGGCATAATCTTCGGTGGTCTTTGGGACAGATTGTAACAGTGGATACAGTGCATTGTGGCCAGGCCCCTGTCCCTCTTCACCTAGCATATGACCGCTGAGTGCCAGACCTGCTCCACCCTTGATGCCCCTTGCTAATCACTAAGCTCTGATGTCTGTCTTAGTAAGTGTTTAGGTTTCCCAAAAAGTGATTTTCCTGCCCCTTTTCAAGTGTGAGGAAACAGACTGGGGTCCCTGGGTTACCAGGGCAGGCCTGGCTGCCTCCACAATGGAGGTGAGGCTGCCATGGATAGAACCCCTCTCACCTTTCTGACCTTGGCCCCTTCCAGGTGCACAGTGACTTCACAGCAGCAGCCACTCGGGGTGCCATGGCAGTCATTGATGGCAATGTGATGGCCATCAATCCCAGCGAGGAGACCAAGATGCAGATGTTCATTTGGAACAACATCTTCTTCAGCCTGGGCTTTGATGTTCGTGACCACTACAAGGACTTTGGTGGAGACGTGGCAGCCTATGTGGCACCCACCAATGACCTGAATGGTGTGCGCACATACAATGCGGTGGACGTGGAGGGGCTGTATACACTGGGCACAGTGGTGGTGGACTACCGTGGCTACCGGGTCACAGCTCAGTCCATCATCCCCGGCATCTTGGAGCGGGACCAGGAGCAGAGCGTCATCTACGGCTCCATTGACTTTGGCAAGACCGTGGTGACACATCCACGGTACCTAGAGCTGCTAGAGCGGACCAGCCGGCCCCTAAAGATCTTACGGCACCAGGTGCTCAATGATCGTGATGAGGAGGTAGAGCTCTGCTCCTCGGTGGAGTGCAAGGGCATCATCGGTAATGATGGCCGCCACTACATCCTCGATCTGCTGCGTACCTTTCCTCCTGACCTCAACTTCCTGCCTGTGCCGGGTGAGGAGCTGCCTGAGGAATGTACTCGAGCTGGCTTTCCCCGCACCCATCGGCACAAGCTTTGCTGCCTGCGCCAGGAGCTGGTGGATGCTTTTGTGGAGCACAGGTGGGGAGACTACTGGGTGATGGGCCAGGGCTGTGCTGACTCTGCCGAAAGCCAGGTCTGAGAGAGGGGAGGCTTTGAGAAGTGAAGAAGGACTAATTCTGGCCATACTTGCTAGAGCCCGGTCTTCTGTGACCTTGGGCTCACTGAGCAGAATTCTGGGGGCCTTTTGTCAGCTGCAGGTTAGCGAGCCACCAACCCAGTGACTCAGATGAAGCAGTGCTGTTCTAAGGAATATTTGGGAATCTGCTAGGGTGGTTGTGAGTGTCACAATGCCAGGGCTGGAAGGAGGTGCAGCAAGTGTTGGTGCTGCTGATATTTTGAATGCTTAGGAATCGGCCATATCAAATGTCCCACACCATGACTGTTTCTCAAGTGACAGTGGCATTCCCATCACTATTGACAGTCCTGGCCTAGACCTTTCCCCACCCCCAACACCTTGTGCTGGGGAGAGCTTGGTTTTGCTGTGACCTGCTGCTATATGGTAGAGTTGCTGGGCTGGCATGGACTTGTGTGCACTCGTATGTCACACCAGGCAGGATGTGTCCCCATGCCTGCAGGGTACTCAGCCCCAACATTCCCTGACCCCAGCAAGCCGGGAATCTGGGGCCTAGCTCTGGTCCATGTAGCCAGCAGGAAGTTGCCAGGCCAGCAAAGCTACCTGATACCCCTTTCCCACTCCCTGCTGCGTTCTGTTTGCCCCGCTGCAGGTACCTCTTGTTCATGAAGCTGGCTGCCCTACAGCTGATGCAGCAGAAGGCCAGCAAGGTGGAGACCTCCACCTCACTGGAAAATGGCAGTCCTTCCTCCTCAGAGTCCAAGCCTGAAGACCCTCTGGGACCTGAGGCGGGGAGTGAGGAGGAGGGCAGTAGTGCTAGTGGGCTGGCCAAGGTGAAGGAGTTGGCAGAGACCATCGCCTCAGATGACAGCACAGGTGGGGTTGCTGTGGATGTCAGGAGCTGTGAGCCTGCCCTGGCAGCTGGTTTCGCCAGATGGTTCATAATGTGGCCCCTGAGAGAGGAAGGCAGGCTCACTGGTGGTGGTGAAGTGGGCTGCCTCCCACCATGCCGTGTCTTCACAGCAGACCCCCGAAGCCGGGAGGTGATCCGCAATGCGTGCAAGGCTGTCGGTTCCATCAGCAGCACAGCCTTCGACATTCGCTTCAATCCTGACATCTTCTCACCAGGCAAGCAGGGGATATGGTCTGAACAGGAACCCTGCAGGGCTGGGGCAGAACATCTGCGGTGGGCTTTGGGCCCTTGGTTCTGGTGGGCCTCTGCCAGTCTGAGCACTGTTCTTCCTCCATCAGGAGTTCGCTTTCCTCAGTCCTGCCAGGATGAAGTTCGGGACCAGAAGCAGCTGCTCAAAGATGCGGCTGCCTTCTTGCTCTCCTGCCAGATCCCTGGTTTGGTGAGGGAGTGACCCAAGGGGCACCAGGGAGGGAGCAGTCCTGCCCTGAGGGACCTGTTTGGTTCCTGGTGTCTCATTTGGCTCCTCACTGGGCTCAGGCTCTATGGACCCTTTACAGGGTCAGCTTCTTGGTGCCTCCTGGGTTAGACCATGCCGAATGATTATGCCCACTTAGATGGACACCCCAATCCTACAAGATTATGGGAGGCATCAGGCACAGGGTAGGCCCTGCCCTGCTGAGCCTGAGGGTCTGATCATCCAAGCCCCATGTTGTGGGAGGCTGGCCTGGGAGTTCCTCTTGCCCACAGGGTTCATGCCTGCAACTTTGGCTAATGTGGCAAGCTTGTCTCAGGTTGGTGAACCTCCAAGGCTCAGTACATGACTAGGTGTGGAGCTGCTGCCCCAGCTGGTCACCTCTGCTCCATCCATGTGGCCAGAATGGAGCCTTTGCCACCTATTGGGCAACAGGTTCTTCACCCATGGGCCCCGCCCTTCTTCCTGTGGGAGAGGTGATGGGCCCTATTTCCTGTGCTCCTGTGGAAGGCTGGGGGAAGATTCTTATGGCCTTGCTGTGGTTCTGTTGCTTTCCCTCTTCCTGCCTGGGGGCTGGGGTCTTAGCCCCCCACTTCCCTTGGGGCCAGGGCAGCATGAACTCCCTGGGAAGTCCCAGGAGTGGGGCCATGACCTGCTGCAGTCCACAGGTGAAGGACTGCGCAGAGCATGTGGTGCTGCCCGTGGACGGGGCGACACTGGCTGAGGCAATGCGCCAGCGCGGCATCAACATGCGCTACCTGGGCAAGGTGCTGGACCTGGTGCTACGGAGCCCAGCCCGTGACCAGCTGGACCATGTCCATGTGAGTGCTGCAGGGGCCAAGACGGGCGGGCGAGGCAGAAAGGGCCCAGGGCCTGACAAAGTCTGCCCTTCAAATCTTCCAGAAAATTGGCATTGGAGAGCTCATTACCCGCTCCACGAAGCACATCTTCAAGACATACTTACAAGTACGCCCTCCCTGTTCCAGTCTGGCCAGGGTGGTGTAGGGCTTGGGGAACAACCCTGAGTGGGGCTGGGGACCCTCATACTGGTCATAACCTCCTTCCCAGGGAGTGGAGCTCTCGGGCCTCTCAGCTGCCATCAGCCACTTCCTCAACTGCTTCCTGAGCTCCTACCCCAACCCTGTGGCCCACCTACCTGCCGATGAGCTGCTCTCCAAGAAGAGGAACAAGAGAAGGAAAAACCGGCCCCCAGGAGCTCCAGATAACACTGCTTGGGCTGTCATGACCCCTCAGGAGCTCTGGAAAAACATCTGCCAGGAGGCCAAGAATTACTTCGACTTCAGCCTTGACTGGTATGACTGTTGTGGGGCTGTGCTGGGGGCTGGGGCCAGGCAGGGAGGGGAAGAAAGGGGACTGAGAATGGCTGTGGGTGACTGCTGGTGTCGGGCAGTGGGGCGCAAGTGCTCAGCACAGCTGACCAGGGGGGCAGGGATGGGTGCTGGGCTGTTCAGGGTCCCTGCTCCTCCCTCAGTGATTCTGTGGACCAGGCTGTGGAGACCTATGGCCTGCAGAAGATAACACTGCTGCGGGAGATCTCCCTAAAAACCGGAATCCAGGTGGGCACAGGTCACAGTGTCTTTGGTGTGCTCTGACTCTGGACACACCTGTCCTGAACAGGGCCTCGGATCATGGAAGAAGGTGGATTTGGGGGGCGGTGGTCACTGAACACATAATAGTGGGCTGAGATGGGCTGGTCCTTTTGAGGCTGAGGCTGAGGCTGTTTATGGGTGTTGGGCCTGCCCCCCAGATCCTGCTGAAGGAGTACAGCTTCGACAGCCGCCACAAGCCCGCGTTCACCGAGGAGGACGTGCTCAACATCTTCCCTGTGGTCAAGCATGTCAATCCCAAGGCTTCGGATGCCTTCCACTTCTTCCAGAGTGGGCAGGCCAAAGTCCAGCAGGGTGCGTGGCCAGGTGGGCTAGTGGGAGGCACAGACCACCCCTAGCCTGGTCCTGACCTTGCTTCCTGTGGGCTCCTCTGCAGGCTTCCTGAAGGAGGGTTGTGAGCTCATCAATGAGGCCCTGAACCTATTTAACAATGTCTATGGAGCTATGCACGTAGAGATCTGTGCCTGCCTGCGCCTCCTGGCTCGTCTCCATTACATCATGGGGGACTACGCTGAGGTGGGCACTTGGAACACCCTGGCTGGGTCACAGCCTGGGGGCCTGGGAGCAGGGCACATGATGGGGCTGGACTGTGTTGTCCCGTCTTGGAGCAGTAGGAGATGGCCATCTAGGTCTGTGGGACCTGAGTCTCTGCTGGGGTTGGGGGCTAGCAAGAGGCATTCCTCTGGGGACCAGGTGAGGTCTAGTGCCCTCCAGGAGGCACATGTTCCTTGAGTGGCCCCCAGCTGCACCTTATTCATTATCCTTGGGAGCTGCCCATGTTCTAATCCAGTGGGTAAATGACAACTCAGGGCCTATACTTTTGGGGACATGTGAAAGGGTCAGTTCTGGGACCCTGTGGCTGCCTCTCCTGTGATGGGTGCCATGTGGAAGCTGCGAGAGCATCATGTTGTCCCCTTTAACATCCTGTGGCCTGTCAGAGTGGGCAGGTGTGTGGCCAGGTGACCAGCCTCAGCCCAGTCCAGCCCTGCTCGTGTTCAGGCTGCCTCACTGGCCTTGAGGCCTTGGGACCTTAGGGCCTGTTTTGGGGTCAGTGTGGTTTAGTCTTCCATCCCACTTCCTTCTGCGTAGGAATGTTGTTATAAAAAGTTAATGTTTTATTTTCAGTGTAATTTTGGATTTGTGTGTATTTGTTTAGATTTGTTACTCAAGGAAATTTAGGACAACTGATTTCAGAAGCTCTCACTGGGGCATAGATTTCTGGTCCCAAGAGCTGGTTATGTCTCTCTTGGACCCTCTGTTGGCTTTGGATTGGGGTGGACTAGAAAGCACAACCCGAGCTACTAACTAAGGCTGAGCAGCTAGAGCTGAGCTGTGAGGGGTGGCTTGGATTCTGGATGTCCAGGGACTGACGCTCCCCTTTTCCAAGGCCCTGAGTAACCAGCAGAAGGCAGTGCTGATGAGCGAGCGAGTAATGGGCATCGAGCATCCCAATACCATCCAGGAATACGTGAGTACTCACACAGGCGAGGTCTGCGTGGGGGTGGGCGCTGTGGCTGCCCTGACCCACCACGGCCCTACCCGCAGATGCACCTGGCCTTGTACTGCTTTGCTAGCAGCCAGCTGTCCACAGCCCTGAGCCTGCTGTATCGTGCCCGCTACCTCATGCTGCTCGTGTTTGGGGAGGACCACCCTGAGATGGCACTGTTGGACGTGAGTGCTGGAAAGGGGGGGTGGGGCCGGCGTCAGTCTGGGGAGAACAGGTACTGACCAGGTCCCTGCCTGCTTGCCCCTAGAACAACATTGGGCTGGTGCTGCATGGTGTGATGGAGTATGACCTATCACTGCGTTTCTTGGAGAATGCTTTGGCTGTCAGCACCAAGTATCATGGGCCCAAGGCCCTTAAGGTGGCCCTCAGGTGAGGCAGTGCTGGCACAGACCCCTGAACTCCCTTGGACCTCTTGGTGGGGCGGGGACGCACCTGGTGTTCTGTCTTTGCCTGACTGCTGAGAAAATTTCTCTCAATTTCTACCTCTTCATTGCATCCCGATTTGTGTGGTTCCCTCGGGAGGATTCCAGGGAGAGATGGAAATCAGACCCTAACCTATGAAGCCTCCCTGCCCCGCCCACTCACGTCCCTCCTTTTTTGCTATGCACGCTATACCTCATTATAGCCACCACCTTGTGGCCCGGGTCTATGAGAGCAAAGCTGAGTTCCGGTCAGCACTGCAGCATGAGAAGGAAGGCTACACCATCTACAAGACCCAGGTGGGCTGCCATGGGAGCTGTGGGGGCTGGTCCGGTGGGCTGGGAGCAGCCCTGACTCCCCCTTGCTTTGTACCCTTGACCCTATAGCTGGGTGAGGACCACGAGAAGACCAAGGAGAGCTCCGAGTACCTCAAGTGCCTGACCCAGCAGGCTGTGGCCCTGCAGCGCACCATGAATGAGATCTACCGCAATGGCTCCAGTGCCAACATCCCACCCCTCAAGGTAATCTTGGGCAGCATGAGTGGCAGCGTGGGCCCACCCTGGCCTCCTGACCTCACTCACTGGCTGGTCTCCCCCACCACCCTCAGTTCACAGCTCCCAGCATGGCCAGTGTCTTGGAGCAGCTCAACGTCATCAACGGCATCCTCTTCATTCCTCTCAGGTGAGGTCCTCCTCTTCTACTCTCCCTCACTGGGAAGGGGGCCTTCAGGTCTGTAAAATCACGTGATACACTGACATGGCAGAGATGGTGATGAAAAGGTCTTTCTGACAGCAGAAAGCAGAAAATCAAGTAAATACATAGCTGCAGTCTTCTTTATTTTTGTTCTTTGCAGTACTAAGCATTAAACCCAGTGCCGCATGCATCAAAGCACTCTACCACTGAGATGAGACCTCAGCCGTTTTCATTTTTTGATGCAGCATTGCAGCATATCATGGTTTTTGTTCATTACTCAGCAATGGGGCTTGGTAAAGTCTTTTGTATCCAATACATAGAAAGTCGCTGCATTCCCTTTCCGGCAGCCTGTTGTCCCAGGTGTACTCTATAAGACCCTGAGGATCTGGCCTGCAGGCAGTGCTGCCTTTGGGAGGTCTCCCTTCCCCTTTTCCCTGCCACAAAGTGGGAAATGGGTGAGTCCATAGTGTGCACTCCCCTCCCAGTTTTCTGCACCTAACCTGCTGTGGGAGGGGCCAGAAGTTGCAGCCAATTTGACCTGGGTTTGAGGGTTCGTAGGTGCCTTGCCTGTCAAGTGCATGGAGCTTGTATTTAGCACTTAGGGACCTTTCTGCTTTTGAGAAGGAAACTCGTGTTCCACACAACTCTCTAAAAGTTTGGAGCTTGACCACATCCCAAATATAAGTGTAACCAAAGCAAGCAGGATAGTGTGTGGCCCAGGTTACTCTGACCCCCATCTTCACCCTCCTCCTTCCACTCAGCCAAAAAGACTTGGAGAATCTGAAGGCCGAAGTGGCGCGGCGGCACCAGCTCCAGGAGGCCAACAAAAACAGGGAAAAAGCCGAGGAGCCCATGGTCACTGAGCCTGAGCTAGCAGGGGCCCCAGAAGACCTGGGTTCCCAGCCCCAGGCTGCCAAGGACCCTTCTTCCCCAAGCTTGCAGGGATAGAAAGGGAGAGACGGACAGTCAGTGGCCCCATCACCCAGTGATTCAGACTCCAGGAGAAGGGGGCATGTCCTGCAGATTGGGAGAGGAAAAGCCAGTCCCTCTTCCATGTTCCACCCTCACCCTACCCCAGCATCCTCCTGGGACCCCGGCCTGGCCTACCTGCCCCCCAAAAGATGTTTTGCACTGGTTCAATGAGAATATATGATGCAGAGGCCTAAAGAAGACACGTGAATGGAGTGTGTGGGCATCGGTTCCAGCTGGGGGGCAGGTGCCCCTCAGACCCCCATCCTCCGGCATGTGTGTGTGAGTGTACCCACTCCCTCGAGTGTCTTGATCCGTCGCCCCTAACTTGTACATAGCCCCCAGTCAGTTCTGAGTGAATGACGGGCAGATGCGATTTCTCAGGTCATTTGTATGTTTGACATGGCTGCTGCTTTTGCTGCCACTACCCCTGGGCCCAGCCTGGCTTACAGTCCAGGTCTTAAGCCAAAAAACTATGGGGGACTTTCCTGTGTCCTGGGAGGGGGAGCCAGAGCACTATGGCAAGGCTGGAAGGCTGTGGAGTGCACTTTAGTTCTGTGGCAAGATGAAAGCTGCAGTGGCTTCACTAATGATTGGGCCTGGCCTGGCCTGGCTGTAGCTTCATAGTGAAGGGGAAGCGGACGTCGGTGGTGGCCCCCCAGATAACCAGTTGCCCAGCTCTACCTTTCTGCCCTTGGGCCCAGCAGGAGGCGCTGCCACAAGCTATGCCTTGCCTCCCAACTCCCTGCATCCCAGGTGGGGATCGCCTTGGGGGCCACAGTCTGAATGTATCCTCCCCATTTTAACCTGAGCTGCCTAACACACAGTGGGGGTGGGTGGGTGAGGGCCTGGGGAAGTGGGGCTGGATCATGGGTCTCGGAGGGAAATAACCAGGTAAAGGAAGGAGTGTTTGTCAGCTATGTGGCACCCAGCTCCCTACCTGGTCTCTGCCATACAAGCACCTTCTAGAGTAGCCCGGGGGATGGTGAGGCCTCCCACCAGCCCCAGCTGTTTTCTCCCTGCCTGCCCGTGTTGCTTCTCTGTGCCCTCTACCTGGAGCCCTGCCTGGGAGCAGGAGGAGATCCACTGAGGGAGCTGTTCCTGGTCAGGCCTCTGCTTGGGGCTTTCCAGAGAGCTGCTTATGGGTAGGGTCTGTCCAGCCACCTTGTTTCAAAGGGAGTGGGCATGAGCTAGCAAAAGGCATCCCCACAGCTGATCAAGAACTTTTTCTTGTTTTTAAACCATCACGTCTTCATTTCACATTGGAATAAAGTGAGTTTTTGAAACCTGCTGTTCCAGCCTTACCTGTGTGTTCTGTAACATTCTCTTTTGTGAGGGCTGTTGTCAGAATGTTGCTGGGAGATGAGTGTATAAATTAGGTCAAATTCAAAGTTATATGTATGTCACTGAGGGAGTGGGGCAAGAGACCCCGGCACTCAGCTGGGGCTTACCTTGGGGTTGTCTACACAGGTGAAGGCTTTGTGGGGAACGGGTGCTACGGAGAGGGTCAGACCCTGCGGCTGCTGGTGTTAGATCACTGAACAGTGAGCTGGCTAGGTACCTGCCCTTGTCCCTCCCTGCACTTGAGACAGGAAGATTAGGTAGCACTCCCCAGCAGGCTCGAGGATTAGGAGAATGGAGCAGTGTTAAGACATGAGTATTTACAGCGGGCTAGTGGAGGGTGGAGAACTAATGAAATGAGGGCAGGAGGAGCCCAACCTGGTGGTCTTGAGAAGCAGGCCTGTGACATGGGAGAGGGAGCATGTGGAAGGAGCCTAAGGAGAAGGGAAGTTGAAGCCTCGTGGCAGCCAGCCCTCCAGAGCACTGAATCCCTTGGACGGTGCAGGGGATGGGATCCAGGCCTACCCACCACTGAGCCACCCCCTCCTCCCACGTTTTGGTATGTCAGGAGAGTCCTATGTGTAGTGGATAAACTGAAAAGGAAAAATTCCAGCCCTAATGTCTGCTAGTCTTCCTGAACCTAAGGATAGCTATCACTCCCTTGACCCTAAACCCCCTGCATGTTACCTTTCCTTAACAATTTCGAGGTGGTGCCTTAAACATGTTTTCCTGTGGTCTTCACCCAGTGAACACGTGTCACATTTCAGAGCACATCGGAATGGGAGCATCATGTAAAGCCGAGTGCCTTGGGTTTAATTACCATTGTGTCTACTGGTCACCTGAGAGGCCCACTTTTCCTGGTTCCCTTAAGCATGTTAGTGTTGGCAGACACCTGACAATCCAAATAAGTTGTTTTAAAGGAAATTGAAACTGCAGGTAGAAAAATCAACTTTCTTCCTTGGGTTTTTTTTTTTTTTTTTTTGGTACTGGGGCTCAAACTCAGGATCTTGCACTTGCAAGGCAAGTGTAATGCCACTGAGCTAAATCCCTGGCTCTGAGATTTCATCTTTTTAATAAAAGTAAATAGTGGTATCTAGGAACTTTAGTGTGAGACCTGGCATCTGCTAGGTTTTGGCGGCTCTGTGGATGGGCAGCTAATTACTCATGGAAAACTGAGTTGCATGAGCCACACCTTCACCTTTAATTACTTTCATTTTTCTCATCTGGATTTCTTACATATGTACTTTAATAATTCAGTTATATTAGCATTGGAAGTACATCTTAGTGGTAGAGCACGTGCCTAGCATGCAAGAAGTCCTGAGTAGAAGTCCTGAGTTGAATCCCCAGCACCAAAGAGTGGAGGGGAGATTGCTGAAAGGTTATGTCCCTACTCTCCAAAGTATGTAGTTTTGAAACAGGGTCTCTCTCTGTAGTTTAGGCTGGCCTTGAGCTGTGTAGCCCAGGTTGGCCTCAAACTTGCAATTCTCCTGCCTCGGCCTCTTGAGTGCTGGGATTACAGGTATGTGCCACTATAAAGACCAAGTTTTCAGGTCAAGGTGAGCTCCCTCTGTACCCCTTGCCCAGAACAGAGCTGCAAAAATTCCATTCTGTATAATTACACTCTGTATGACAGTCTCCCTGTGTTTCTGTTCCTCTTTTTAGGCAGCTGTTAGGCCTCCACCCTATGTTTCTGTTCCTCTTTTTATAATCCAAAGATGAGTTCGCCCTGCTTAAGATAATTTGATTTAGCCAATATAGGTATTAGTCATAGATGACATAGGTAGCCACCTGCTGATATCCTTGCTTACAAAATCAGATGTTCTTTAAAAAAAAAAGAGGGTTTTATGAATGTAGGCATTAGTAATTTTCCAGTAAGTGCCCTCCCAGTACCCCTCATATCCAATAGTAAACAAGAGCTATAAAGGTCCTAAACAGGACCTATAAAAAGAATCTCCCTAACCCTATATAACCCTGCTTCAAAGATGGGTCTGGGCTCTCGGTCAGAAGCCGCTGTGACAGTGACACCCAAGGGTCCAGGCTCAAGCTTGCAATAAACTACTCTTGTAATTGCATTGGACCTGACTCCTTGGTGGTCTTTGGGGACTTCGCGACTTGGGCACACCACCACCACACCCGGAAAACTTTAGTGAGAAATCCCACATCCTGTGGCTGAGAAGGTGGTATCCTGAAGGGGTCTAGTATTTCCTTGTCCCTCCTGACAGGGTCATAAACTACCAAATCAAATTAGGTAGCCATTAAGAGTAAAGTAAAATACTCTCACTGCTGGGGGGGTAATCCACTGATTTAAATCTTACTTTGGTAATCCATTAATTTAGAACGGATCAGACACAGATGCAGAGCTTTCAGGATACAGCTGCCCTGAGGTGAGGATGGTCCCTTCATACAGAACAATTATAGGTTTCTCTCAAGTAAGCATGTTTGGGCAACAATTATTTATCCATTCTCAGCTCTCCACAGTAGGTGAGGAAGGGTGCAAGGTGGTGATTCAGAGGCTTAAGGGTGATGGTATAAGGCCTTTCCTACATTATCAGAATAGTCTAAGAATTCTTTTTAAAAGTGTTAAGAATGTCCTCCCTACATGCTGATAAGGTGAACTACACAAGCAGAACTGGGTAAAAGAAAAAGCACCAGTATTTCAAAGTCCCAGTTGTGTTTTTTTTTTTTTTTTTTTTTTTTTTTTGTGGTCTAGGGACTGAACTCAGACCCTTGTGCTTGCCAGATAGGCACAGTACAAGTGAGCTAAATCCCATCCCCCAGCTAACCTTTTGACACAGATCTTTGGCATGTGGGCCCTGCCTCCTATAAAGTTTACTTGTCCATGAAATGCACTGGTAGATACCAGCAGAGGATGTGTGTGAAAATAAATGTTGGTTCCCTAACCAATGTTCAAAATGCCATTAGTCCACTTCAGAGTTCACTGAGAGGAACAAGTGATTGAGAATAGCCTTACGAATATTCAGAAAGGGAAAAGTGAGTGAAAAGTTGGAAGGACACCTGAGTTCAAATCTCAGCTGTGGGGCAACTTCTGCCCAAATTTCTTTAGTCAAAAGTTGAATAATTTGGAAGTCATTTAGATATTGCAGGAATCTATCCTGTGAAGAGAGGTCCTAAAATCTGCACTTTTGACAAAATCCCAGGTAATCTGATGCTGGGGGGTGGTAGAATCAGTCATAGAGGATTCTGGTCTGTACGTGTCAATTTCCACCAGACTCAGCAGGAATAGCCATCATACCCAGGATGCAGCACTTATTTCCACTTTCCTATCCCTCAATCGCCATCAAAGGACAGGCATGGCCATGAATTTGAAAGGCAGTTTCTTGTGAAGCACCATAGGTTTTGAATACTTAACAGCAGCACTTCAGGATGGTTAAACTAAAGCTGTAACTCTACCTTAGGAAAATGGTCAGGACCAACACTTGGCTCTCTTCTAGGGGAGAAAAGCAAAGCCCAAGAAGAAAAATTAGAAAATAAAAATAGGAGATCTGCAACATTTAGGCTATCCTAATTTCAGGCAAGTTGCTTCGTTGCTTAGAAGTCCAGCTTCTCTTCAGGGGAAACTATTTGCAATAGGAGGCAGGAAAACAGCTGGATTTTAAGACAGCCACTGCCTTAACATGTTCTTTTATACACAAAAAAGGCTGGAAATTTCACGGGCACCCTGGAAACACTAAGACACCAGTTTAGAAGTCTGAGGACATTAATCTCAGTACAGCGCAACCAAACTTGAAAAACATGATGAGGATCTTCACAACCCACTGGACCAGAGGGCCAGAAGAGCTCATTCAGTAACAAAAAGGGTAGGGCTCCTTATATTCAGGACAAAAATCTTTGTAGAG